AATTCATCTGAAACACGTTAAAAAATCACTATTAATTAATCAAAAATTCAGCACAAAAATCGGCTTCAAATTCAGTCACAATTCGGCTGAAATACGCTAAAAATCTCTATAAATTCATCAAAAATTCAGCCCAAAAATCCGCTTCAAATTCAGTCAAAATTCGGCTGAAATACGTCAAAAAATCACCAGAAATTCATCAAAAATTCAGCCCAAAAATCCGCTTCAAATTCAGTCAAAATTCGGCTGAAATACGTCAAAAAATCACCAGAAATTCGTCAAAAATTCAGCCCAAAAATCGGCTTAAAATTCAGTCAAAATTCATCTGAAACATGTTAAAAATCTCTATAAATTCATCAAAAATTCAGCCCAAAAATCCGCTTCAAATTCCGCCACAATTCGGCTGAAATACGTCAAAAATCACCAGAAATTCATCACAAACTCAGCCAAAAAATCCGCTTCAAATTCAGTCAAAATTCGGCTGAAATACATCAAAAAATCACTATTAATTAATCAGAATCCTCCCAAATGTCCCCAAAATCCTCCAAAATGTCACCGAAATCCTCCAAAATATCCCCAAAATCCTCCCAAATGTCACCACAGGGACCCAAAATGTCACTAAAGGGACCCAAAATGTCACCAAATGTCCCCAAAATCCTCCGAAATGTCACCGAAATCCTCCCAAATGTCCTCAGAATCCTCCCAAATGTCCCCAAAATCCTCCCAAATGTCCCCAAAATCCTCCAAAATGTCCCCAAAATTCCCAAAATTGTCACCAAAAACCTCTCCAGTGTCACCAAAGGGACCCAAAATGTCAAAAAAAAGACCCCAAAATGGCCCCAAAATGTCACTAAATGTCACCAAATGTCACCAAAATCCTTTGAAATGTCAGCAGATGGACCCAAAGGGACCCAAAATGTCAAAAAAAAGCCCCCAAAATGGCCCCAAAATGTCACTAAATGTCACCAAATGTCACCAAAATCCTTTGAAATGTCAGCAGATGGACCCAAAGGGACCCAAAACGTCCAAAAAATGACCCCAAAATCCTCTAAAATGTCCCCAAAATGTCACAAAATGTCCCCAAATGGCCTCAAATATTCCCAAAACGGACCTAAAATGTCACAAAATGTCCCCAAAACCTCTAAAATGTCCCCAAAATGTCACAAAATGTCCCCAAATGGCCTCAAATATTCCCAAAACGGACCTAAAATGTCACAAAATGTCCCCAAAATCTCTAAAATGTCCCCAAAAAGACCCAAAATGTCACAAAAGGGACCCAAAATCCTCTAAACTGGCCCCAAAATGGACCCAAAAACCTCTAAAATGTCCCCAAAATGTCCCCAAATGTCACCAGAAGGCACAAAATTGTCACCAAAAACCTCTGAAATGTCCCCAAAATGGCCCAAAATCCTCTAAAAGGGACCCCAAATTCCCAAAATTGTCACCAAGAACCTCTGAAATGTCCCCAAAGGGACCCAAAATGTCCAAAAAATGGCCCCAAAACCTCTAAAATGTCCCCAAAACGTCACAAAATGTCCCCAAATGGCCTCAAATATTCCCAAAACGGACCTAAATTGTCACAAAATGTCCCCAAAATGTCACAAAATGTCCCAAAATGTCCCCAAAATCCACAAAATTGTCACCAAAAACCTCTAGAATGTCCCCAAAAGGACCCAAAATGCCAGAAAATGTCCCCAGAAACTTCTAGAATGTCCCAAAATGGCCCCAAACGTCACCAAAATTCCCTAAAATGGCCCCAAAATGTCACAAAGTCCCCAAAATTGCCTCCAAATTGTCCCCAATCCCCCAAAATGTCCCCAAATTGTCCCCAAATTGTCCCAAACCCCTCCAAAATTGTCCCAAATCCCCCAAAATTGTCCCCAAATTGCCTCAAAATCACCCCCGAATTGTCCCCAACCCCCCCAAATTGTCCCAAATCCCCCAAAATGTCCCAAATCGCCCCAAAATTCTGAAATCGCCCCCAAAATTGTCCCCAAATTGTCCCCAACCCCCCAAATTGTCCCAAATCCCCCAAAATGTCCCAAATCGCCCCAAAATTCTGAAATCGCCCCCAAAATTGTCCCCAAATTGTCCCCAACCCCCCAAATTGTCCCAAATCCCCCAAAATGTCCCAAATCGCCCCAAAATTCTGAAATCGCCCCCAAAATTGTCCCCAAATTGTTCCAGAGTTCTGAAATTGTCCCCAAATTGTCCCCAAAATTGTCCCCAAACTGTCCCCAACCCTCCCAAATTGTCCCAAATCCCCCCCAAACCCCCCAAAATTGTCCCCAAATGCTGAAATTGTCCCCAAAATTGCCCCAAAATTGTCCCCAACCCCCCCAAATTGTCTTGGGGGGGAAATGCAAAAAAAAAATTGGGGGGAATTAAAAAAATTGGGGGAAAATTTAAAAAATTGGGGAAATTGTAAAAAAATTGGGGGAAAATTAAAAAAAATTGGGGGGAAATTAAAAAAAATTGGGGGAAAATTAAAAAAAAATTGGGGGGGAAATTGGGGGGAATTAAAAAATATTGGGGGAAATTATTAAAAAATGGGGAAATTGTAAAAAATTGGGAGGAAAATAGGGGGAAAATGAAAAAAAAATTGGGGAAAATTTAAAAAAAATTGGGGGAAAATTTTAAAAAATTGGGGAAATGACAAAAATTGGAGAAAATTGGGGGAAAATGAAAAAAAATTGGGGGAAATCTCGAAAGAATTGGGGTGAAAACCCCAAAATTTAGGTGAAAGCAAAAAATTTGAATAAAGACCCCAAAATCTGAGTGAACCCCCCCAAAATTGAGATGAAAACCCCAAAATCTGAATAAAACCCCCAAAAATTCACCTGAAAATCCCCAAAAGATTCCTAAAAAAACCCAAAAATTCAACTGAATCCCCAAAATCTGAATGAAACCCCCAAATTCTGAGTAAAACCCCCCAAAAATTCCCCTGAAAACCCCAAAATCTGAGCAGCCCCCCCAAAATTTGTGGGAAATCCCAAAATCTGAATGAAACTCCCCCAAAAATTTGTGAAAAATCCCAAAATTTCAATGAAAACCCCAAAAATTTGGGGGGAAATCCCAAAGATTCACCTTAAAACCCCAAAATCTGAACTAGCAAACCCCAAAAATTCGTGAAAATTCCAAAAATCTGAATAAAACCCCAAAATCTGAGAGAAAACCCCCAAAATTTCACCTGGAACCCCCAAAATTTGGGTGAAACCCCCCAAAATTCACCTGAAAACCCCAAAATCTGAATAAAATCCCCAAAATCTCAACGAAACCCCCCTAAAATTTGGGGGAAATCCAAAAATTAACCCAAAAACCCCAAAAGTTCAGGTGAACCCCCCCAAAATTTTGGGTGAAATCCCCCCAAAATCTGAATTTCCCCCCAAAACCTTCCCAAAACCCCCAAAATTCCCATTTTCCCCCCAAAAATTCTCCTGAAATGCCAAAATTCCCATTTTCCCCCCAAAAAATTCCCATTTTCCTCCAAATAGATTCTCATGGAAAGCCCAAAATTCGAATTTTCCCCCCCAAAATTTCCCCAGAACCCCAAAATTCTCTTTTCCCCCAAAAAATGACTTGGAAACCCCAAAAATCTCATTTCCCCCCCAAAAAAATTTACTTGAAAAAGCCAAAATCCCCATTTTCCCCCCAAAAATCCAAATTTTTCCCCCAAAAAATTCCCCCAGAACCCCCAAAATTCCCATTTCCCCCCAAAAAATCTGAATTTTCCCCCAAAAAAATTCTCCCAGAACCCCAAAATTCCCATTTTCCCCTCCAAAAATTCCCCCAAAAGCCAAAAATTTCCATTTTCCCCCCAAAAATCCAAATTTTTCCCCCAAAAAATTCCCCCAGAACCCCCAAAATTCCCATTTTCCGCCCCAAAATTCCCATTTTTCCCCCCAAAAAAGAGCCAAGAGCCCAAAATTCCAGAGCAGTTCCTTTATTGGGGGAGGGGGCCCCAAAATTTTCCCAATTTTGGGATTTTTTTGGGGGGCAAAATTCCCAAATTTTGGGATTTTTGAGGCTGGAACCCTCAAAGTTTCACAATTTTGGGGATTTTTGGGGAGGAACCCCCAAATTTTGGAAATTTTTTGGGATTTCCCCCTAAATTTTGGGATTTTTTTGGAGCTGAGCCCCAAAATTTTGGGGCAAACCCCCAAATTTTGAGATTTTTGGGGACAAAATGCCAAAAATTGGGTTTTTTTATGGGGTGAGATGCCCAAATTTTGAGGTTTTTTAGGGAAGAAACCCCAAATTTTCCCTGTTTTGGGTTTTTTTTTGGGATTGATCCCCAAATTTTCCCAAATTTTGGGGGTTTTTTTGGAGCTGAACCCCGAAATTTTGGGGGTTTTTAGGGTAAAACCCTCAAATTTTGGGATTTTTTAGGGAAGAAATCCCAAATTTTCCCAATTTTGGGGGTTTTTTTTGGAGCTGAGCCCTAAAATTTTGAGGTTTTTTGGGGTGGAACCCCCAAATTTTCCCAACTTTGGGATTTTTTTGCGAAGGCTCAGGAGGAGGAGGAAGAGGAGGATGAAGGCTCCTCATTTCACGGTGAGGATGATGAGGGTCCCTCACCCCCCCGAGGAGGAGGAGGAAACCGAACCCGATGAGGCCGAAGGCCCCGAGGAGGAGGAGGAGGAGGAGGAGGAGCCCCCTCAGCCCACGGCGAGGCCGAAGGCTCAGGAAGGGCCTTGTCCCAACGGCGAGGAGGAGGAGGAGGAGGAGACCGAACCCAATGAGGCCGAAGGCTCACGAGGAGGAGGAGGAGGATGAAGGCCTCTCTCTCATTTCCCGGCGAGGATGATGAAGATGAAGACGATGAAGACGAAGCTCTCCCACCCTGAGGTGAGGAAGAGGAGGGTGAAGGCCAGGACGATGAAGATGAAGGTGAGGAGGATGATGAAGATGAAGGCGACGAAGGTCAGGACGATGAAGATGAAGGTGAATTCTCTTCCTGTGGCTGATGAAGATGAAGGTGATGAAGCTGAAGATGATGAAGGATGAAGATGATGAAGGTGAGGATGATGAAGATGAAGGTGAGGATGGTGAAGATGAAGGTGAGGATGATGATGATGAAGGTCTCAGCCGATGGTGAGGCCGAAGCCGCAGTGGAATTTCTCCTTCCTGCGGTTGATGAGGATGATGATGGTGACGATAACGAGGCTCAGGATGAAGATGAGGATGGTCAGGATGATGAAGATGATGATGATGAAGGTCTCAGCCGATGGTGAGGCCGAAGCCGCAGCGGAATTTCTCCTTCCTGTGGTCGATGAGGATGATGATGGTGACGGACAATGATGACGATAACGAGGCTCAGGATGAAGATGAAGCTCAGGATGAAGATGAGGATGGTCAGGATGATGAAGATGATGATGATGAAGGTCTCAGCCGATGGTGAGGCCGAAGCCGCAGCGGAATTTCTCCTTCCTGTGGTCGATGAGGATGATGATGGTGACGGACAATGATGACGATAACGAGGCTCAGGATGAA